CTCCTCTCTAGGAGTAAAGACTTACATAGGCCCACGTGCCCATGGGGGTCCAGCTGCCAGGCTGAGACACTCCAGGTGAGCATCCTGGGCCAGCTGTGGTCAGCAGCACTTGCCAGGACAGTTAACAAGCAAATGTAAGAGAATGCATGGTTGGGTACACCCCTGGTGGGTAGGACCCTCCAAGGAGATGGTGGGACAGTATGAAATGTAAGAAAGACCAGGAAGAATTCTGATTTCTTCACATCCTCCCCAGAACTTTTTTCATTTTTAAAATTTTTAAGTATTTATCTTCTGCTTGCTGCAGATGGAACCCAGGGCCCTGCACACACAATGCAGGTGCTCTCCCACTGAGCTGACCCCAACATTTGCCTTTTCAATTATGATCATTCTAGTAGGTGTGATGTGGTCTCTGTGATTTTGATTTACATTTTCCTAATAACTAATGATGTTGAGCATCTTTTCCATGTGCTTATTGGCCATCTGTCTTTAGAGTTTCTGAGCTGGGAATTGAACCCAGGATCTTGCTAAATATGTGCTACCCACTGAACTTCACCCCAGCCCTGTCTCTACATTTTAAAGACAGCCAGAGAATGGGTTTTGTTTGCTACCTGAGACAGACACGCTCCACCTGAGACAGACCCAGAACAGCTTCCCTCATTGCTGGGTTAACAGGATCCTTGTTTTCTTAGAGGAAACAGAAATTAGAGACAAAGGGGGAAGGGGCTAGTACAGGCATCATGGTGGTGCATTCTGGCCCCCAGTTTGCAATTCTGAAGTGGATAAGGACAGTACAGGACTGAACTTCAAATGCAGGATGACCTCCTGGGATGGCTGGGCCCCTATCTCTCCTAGATTCTGAGTCAGACTATGGCCACCGCCCCCTCTAAGGTCAGCAGGGGGTAGGAGTTGATAGCCCCTCACCCCCAACAGTCCCAGACTGCCCATTGTCACTCTGATAACAGACTCCACTCCCAGAACCCCTTTCCCACTCCCAACCAATAGCCCAGCCAGACTGGGCTCCTGACTCTGTACATATAAGGGGACCCTGGGGAGTAAGCATCACTAGGCTACTCCTAAGTGCACCAGCTCCAGCACAGCCACTGACCCTCATTGCCATGTCTCTGACCAAGAGCGAAAGGGCCATCATCATGTCCATTTGGGACAAGATCTCCATGCAATCTGAGATCATCGGCACTGAGACTCTGGAGAGGTGAGCACCATACAGGGTGACCTGAGTGACCAGGTCAGAGGCCAGGGAGAGATGGTAAGGAGAAGTCAGTGAGAAAGGGTGGGTAGCACAAGTTCCTGAGGAAGGGTCACCAGGAGTGTCAACAGGAGACAGTGTGAACTGTGACTCAGTGGTAAAGTGCTTGTCTAGCATGCAAAAGGCCCTAGGTTCAACCCCCAGCACTGAAAAGAAAGAAAGAAGGGAAGGGGGGGAGGGAGGGAGGGAGGACAAAGATGAAAATGAGTGGCAGTGAGGAGGGGGTTAGGGCCAGCCAGTTGAAGAGGAGGTGGGAGCTGAAGGCAGAGCTGTCTCAGTCCTCAGTAGCTCAAACATCTGTTGAACGAATGAATGAATGAATGATGGACACTGAGGGAGAGGCAGTGTCTTGCCACACTGGAGCCTGGGCAATGGGAAAAATCAGCAACACCGACCCTTTGTTTTATTTTATTATTGGCACAGGGGATTGAACCCAGGGACACTAAATCACTGAGCCACATCCCCAGCCCTTTTCATGTAAAATTTTGAGACAGGGTCTCATAAAATTGCTTAGGGCTTCGCTAAATTGCTGAGGCTGGCTTTGAACTCGTGATCCTCCTGCCTCAGCCTCCTGAGCCGCTGGGATTACAGGCGAGGGCCTCCGTGTCAGCAACTGGATGGTTTTGTATTAATATCTCAAAACACTGCGTTAAAATGTGATTTTCCTAAGTTTTGATTTTGGGGGCACCCCTGATTTGATCCACTGCAAGTACTGGTCAGTCTCTGGTCTTTTCAACCCCCGCGCAACAGACGCCTCCCCAGCTCACTCCCCCGACCTTTCGGCAGGCTGTTCTCAAGCTTCCCGCAGACCAAGACCTACTTCCCGCACTTCGACCTGCACCCAGGGTCGCCACAGCTGCGCACGCACGGCTCCAAGGTGGTGGCCGCCATCGGCGATGCAGTCAAGAACATTGACAACATCGCCAGCGCCCTGACCAAGCTGAGCGAGCTGCATGCCTACATCCTGCGGGTGGACCCGGTCAACTTCAAGGTGGGCAAGGTGGGCGGGCCACCGGGGCGGGAGCAAGCGCGGGCGGGGCCTGGACGGGGCACGCCCCGCCTACATCTACCAGACCTTTACTTGCCCCCGCAGCTCCTGTCCCACTGTCTGCTGGTTACCCTGGCTGCGCACTTCCCTGCCGAATTTACTGCTGAGACCCACGCCGCCTGGGACAAGTACCTGTCTATCTTGTCCTCCGTCCTCACTGAGAAATACCGTTGAGCGCCGCCGTCGGGACCCCTCCCTTGCCCCTGAGCCCTCCCGCAACCCCCAATAAATTAGATGAGAATGGAACAACCTGGGTCCTGCGTTCTTAGTACTGGAGGGGAGGAGGGGAGGAGGGGAGACGCTGGGGGATGCGTTGGGGCATCGTAGGAATGCGGTCGACACTGGGGTCATCCTTGCCTAGAGGATACTCCGAGGGTGGTTTGGGGAGGGTCTTGGCCCAGAGCACCCCAGCACTGGGAGCATAGCATCCCGTGTGGTCTCCTCAGGTCGCACATGCATTTGCGACTCTCCCTGCCCTCCCAAACCGCCAAGAGTTTATGGTTTTGCTTCGCATAGTGGGTGCGGGTCTGCACTCCTGAGGTCCCAACTCCGGATACCCTGGTTGCGGTGGACCTGAAGCTGTTCCCTCTCCCAACCAGGGATCCGCATCTCTGTTCCTTTATGTCTCCTCTTCTCCCTACTGGAGGCTCCCTCTGCTGCAGACATTGCTGGGCGCCAGTTTAGTCCCTCCCTCCGAGAATCTCATGGCATGGGGGTAGGAGTGGAAATGGCCACAATTTGGCAGTGCAGGTTTGAACCTGGTTCACACTGACAAGCTGTGTGATCTGCACTTGCCTGAGCTCTCTGAGCCTCATGCATAAGATGGATTCACTAGATCTTTGATATAATTTTTGAGATCATAATGCAGGGTCTATGCCCAGCAGGCTCATGAACACCCTACACCCCAGCACTACATTTCAGACTCTGCAGCTTGCCTTTCCAAGGTGTGTGCTCATCCAAGACTGGTCTCCACACTCCCTGGCCAACTTAGGGAGGACAAGAATCTTGGGGTCCAGCCTTTGCAGTGTTTCCCAAGCTGAGGATCCCTCTGTGAAGCAGCACAGTGCCAGGCCTGAAGAGGGATGCTGGAAGATGAACCCTGGCTTTGGCTCTGTTTAGGCCCCCAAGAAGTCAGTGCCGAGGATCAGGGAGAGAAGGGAATTTGGAGGACTCTAGGTCCCGGGGGAAGTCTAGTGTGAAAGCAGCTGGTATTCCATTCTGGAAAGGATTGCTTTCTCCTCCCCATCCCAGCAAACAGGTACATCAAATGTGCCCTGGGTCTGGGCCACACCTGGGTGCATTATGAGATTAGGCGGGGGGGTGGGTCTCAGGAACTCATGCTAAGAATCACAGGATGGGTGAAGTTGCAATACAGAAAGCCAGGTCTCTAGCATGGAAATACAGCTAGGACCCACCCACCCCTATGCCCCTCCCATATGGGCACCTCCTAGTGGGGTTGCCAGCCAGTGAACTCAGCCCTGGGACATGACCCTTCACTAGGCTATAAAAGCTCTGAATTCTAGCAGAGCATAGAAGGGCACACCTGTAATCCACATGGCTTGGGAGGCTCAGGCAAGAGGATCACAAGTGCAAAACCTACTCAGCAACTGAGCAAAGTCCTAAGCAACTTAGCAAGACCCTGTATCTAAATAAAAATACAAAATAGGGCTGGGGATGTAGCTCAGTGGTTGAGTGCCCCTGAGTGCAATCCTCAGTACCAAAAAAAAAAAGAGAGAGAGAACCCAACGTTGCACTGTCTCCTGCTGACAAAGCCAACTCAGAGCTGTCTGGGACAAGGTTGGCAGCCATGGTACAAGCATGGTGTGCATACCCTAGATAACTGAGGACCCTTCTCCCATCGAGCCTCAGGTCCAACGCCTGCCCCATCGCCAACTCCTAACTGGCTGGCTGCACTTCTCTGATCCCAACTCACATGCCGCTTCAACCCACAGGTTGCTAAGGATCCTCCCACCACCAAGACCTGCTTCCTCCAATTTGATCTATTCTCTGGCTCTGCCCAGGTCAAGGCCTAGGTGAGACGGTGGCCAGCATGCTGACTAACACACAGGCCACATAGATGACCTGGAGTTGGCCCTAAGTGATCTGAGGGATGTGCATGCCCACCAGCTGTGTGTGGATCTGGTCAATCTTAATGTGACCACTAGGACGTGATCTGGCAGCCACAGCCAGCCTTGTCACAGGACAGAGAACTCATGGTTCACAGGATGTAGATGTCTGTGGCCTTCAGTCTCTACCACTGCCACAGTCTCTACCACCACTAATGGCACTTTCTCCACAGCTCCTGAACCACTGCCTGCTGGTGACCATGGCAACTCACCACCTGGAAGAATTCACCCCTGTGTGGATGCTGCTCAGATGATGGACATTCAGCCTGTGAAAAGCCTAGGATCAGGGGAGGTGGTGTGGGCTGGCCTTTGCCAGTGCTCACGGGAGCCCAGCCCATGGCTAGGATGCTTGGACATCTGAGATGGCATTGAGTTCATGCACAGCAAATGCCAGCAACCACCCACCCCAATTGGCAGGCTGCTGCCAAGGAGATGGCGGAGAGTGGGGAAAAGAACCTCTGACCCGCAGAGTGTGGGTGAGGTGCGGCTGGCCAGGCCTGGCTGCTTATTAACCCGGTGCCAGCCAATAAGTGTAGCTAGGCTGGGCGGGTCCCAAACACCCGGGTCATAAAAAGCATTGCATTCTGTTGGTCCAGCACGCTTCTGGTTCTGACACGGACTCAGAAAGAAATCACCATGGCGTTGTCTCCTGCTGACAAGACCAACGTCAAGGCTGTTTGGAACAAGATTGGCAGGCTTGACACGTACGGTTGGGAAGCACTGGACAGGTGAGTGTTCTCCTCTGCCCTGCTAGGTCCCCGGGTACAACACCCAGTGACTAGCTGGCACCCTACCTGTTATGCCCCCACCCTCCTTGACTTCCCCCACCCACCACTTTCTCACTGCAGGATGTTCATGTCCTTCCCCACCACCAAGACCTACTTCGCCCACTTTGATCTGAGCCCTGGCTCTGCCCAGATCCAGCAGCAAGGCAAAAAGGTGGCTGATGCTCTGGCCCTTGCTGCAGCCAACATGGACGACCTGCCTGGTGCCCTGTCCTCCCTGAGCGATCTGCATGCGCACAAGCTGCGTGTGGACCCGGTCAACTTCAAGGTGAGTGCTGGCACTGGGCCAGGACAGGTGGGACAGGTGGAGGGCGCAGGTGGCAGGGCAGAGAACATCACCGTTAGGTGAAGCACAGATGCCAATGGCCTTTACCACCACGGACGGCCCTTCCTCTCTCCACAGCTCCTGACCCACTCCCTGCTGGTGAGCCTCGCCACTAACTACCCAGAGGAATTCAACCCTGCGGTGCATGCCTCCCTGGACAAGTTCTTGGCCTCTGTGAGCACCGTGCTGACCTCCAAATACCGTTAAGCTAGAAACTTGATGGCCACACCCATCCATGCCAGCCTTGCCTCCCGGCCAGGACTCCTCCACTCCTGGCACCTGCACCTCTTGGCCTTTGAATAAAGTCTGAGCGGGTTTGCAGCCTGTGTGCCCTGGTTCTCTGTGTCTGCTGCATGCCATGGTTGGGGTGGTTCTACTTATCTTGGACCAAGGACCCTTATGGGGAGGGGAGGGGTGCTGAGTTGGACCTACTCCAGAGAAGGATCTGAACCACACCTCAGTCCTGAAAAGCGCCAGACCTCCCAGGGTCCCTCAGAGGGGACAGGGGAGGAGACTCCAATGTCAACACCCTTTTCCGGACTGACCGATCCCCGTTAAACATACAACCTAGGCCAAAACCAAAGGAGCTGGCCTCAATGGCACATGCCTGTAATCTGGAAGTTACTCTGGAGGCTGAGGCAGGAGGAGTATTGCAAGTTTGAGGCCAGTGTGAGCAACATGGCAGGACCTTGTCTCAAAACACACATGCAAACTAAAATAGGCTGCTCCAGATGCAAAAGCAGGTGCCAGAAAATCTGACTCCCACCAGAGGGTAGGTGTGCTAAAGTGAGTGTGCTGTTCCCAGCTGTCCTACCTCTGTCACAGTGACCCTCAGAGAGCAGGTCCACAGTCAGGCAAGGAGAGGGTGGGCTGGCTGGAGCAGACAGGGTGCCCTCAGGAGCTTACGGGCAGAGCAGAGTGTTGCTCCCTCCCTGCAAATCCTGAGGCACAGTGACAGATCAGGTGTCCCCAGCCCAGTTCCCCCCTATACCCTGGCTCACTGTCACACATTCTCTGGCCCTGAGGCACTGAGCCATCCTGGGGATCTCCCTGAGGATCTGCCCCTCCTGTTGTTGGCTGCGGACAGGTATGCCCCTGGCCCAGATGCGGCATCTCAGGCTCCACCCTGGGATCCTGAACACCATGCCTGGCTTCACTGCCCCAGGGCCTTCAGGCCAACCGCCAAAGTGAGCCTGCTCACACTGCACTGGGCGGAACTCGGAGGAGAGCAAGGGCCCCATTCACCACTTTCTGGTCATGGGCCTCTCGGAACTGCTAGGGTGTCCCCTTTTTCCTCTCTCCCATTCACTCCTCTGCCTCTTAGCCAACCCATTTTTATTCAAACCTTGAAAATGCTTAAGGAATAAACTGACATCCATCAATGCTTCCTCTCTCTCTCTCTCTCTCTCACCCTCCCCCCGCGGCCACACACACAACATACACACACACTTTTTTTCCATTATTCAAAGCAGGGAAACAGACCCTGTACCCTGTCTCCCTACCTCACAGAAATCAAAGTGAACATCTAGGGACTGAGTTATGTGGCTTCCATCTGTACCAAGAGGACACTGGTATGGCTGATCCCTCATGTTTGTTTGTTTGTATGTTTGTTTCTTTCTTTCTTTCTTTCAATTGGGTCTCCTAGTTTGCCCAGTATGGCCTTGAATTCCTGGGCTCAAGAGATGCTCCTGACTGAGCCTCCCAAGTATCTGGGAATATAGACATTCGTCATAAAGCCCAGCTTCATTCCAGTTTGCTGATCATTTCTCTTAACTTTCTGTAAAGATTTTTTATCACCTGTTCTCATAAGTTGTTTTTATTTTATTTTGGGTTTTTTAAAAAAAATTTTTTTTTAGTTGTACATGGACAAGACCTTTATTTTATTCATTTATTATTATTTTTTTAATATGGTGCTGAGGATAAAACCAGTGCCTCACACATGCTAGGTAAGCACTCTACCACTGAGCCACAACCCCAGTCCCTAGTTTTTTCTTTCACTGCAGTACTGGGAATTGAACTCAGGAGTGCTCTGCCATGGTGCTACATCCTCAGCCTTTTTAAAAAATTTGAGACAGGGTCTCACTCAGTGACCCAGGCTGGCCTCTAACTTGTGATCTCCCTACTTCAGTCTCCAAGTTAACTAGGATTATAGACATATCCCATGGTGCCTGGTATCCTTTTTTCTGTCACAGGACTGGGAATCAGACCCAGGGGCTCACCCATTCTGAGCACAAACTACCACAGAGCTCTATCCCAGCCCTTTTACTTTCTGCTTGGCGGGGCTTTTGTTGTTGGTTTGTTTCGGTTATGAGATGGGGTCTCACTGTGTTTCTGAGGCTGCTCTCAAATTCCTGGGATCGAGTGATCTTCCCATCTCTGTTCCATCCCCCTGAGTAGCTGAGACTACAAGCATGTGCCACCACAACTGGCTCCCAGCCCTCTTTCTTATTTACACACGAGGGTTCTTTTCACATGAAGGATGCAAGTCAGGTCCGATGCGGTGGCACACACCTGTAAATCCCAGCTGCTTGGGGGGATGAGGTAGGAGGATCACAGTTTGAGGCCAGCCTGGGCAACTTCATGAGACCCTTTCTCAAAGGAACAGATAAAATGGGATGTAGCTCAGTGGTAGAGCACCTGGTTTCAATCCCCCATCCTGCCAAATAAATAAATAAAAATAAAACATGCAAAAGGTGCAAAAGAATGCAAATCTGACAGCTACTCTGATGCCTCAAGTCAAAGGATTACTTGAGCTGGGGATTTGTGACCATCCTGGGCAACATAGAAAGACCTTGTCTCAAAGAGAGAAAGACAGAGAGAATACATTAAGTGTTTGGTTTAAATATGTTCCACAGACTAAGATTTGTCTTAAAGGGCTCATGTAGGGCCAGGCTTGGTGGCACCCATCTATAATCTCAGCTACTTAGGAGGCCGAGGGAGGAGAATCCCACGTTTGAATCCAGCATCAGCAAGTTAGGGGGACCCTGTCTCAAAATAACAACTAAAAAGGGCTAGAGATGTAGCTCAATGGTAGAACACCCCTGAGTTCAACCCCAGTATGAGGTGGGTGAAGGCCCAGGTGGTGAAGAGATTGGAGCAAGATGCAGAGAGAAGGTGGTCCCAGGTGTCTTGGGTGCCTCTGAGTCCCCAGCATCTTATCCTTCTCATCCTTCAGAGTCAGGACTAAGCATGGGGCTGTGAGCAGAGTCAGGAAAGGTTGCAGGGTCGGAAAGGGAAGGTGGGAAGAGCAGGGTCCTGGGGAACTGCTAAGGCAGGCCTAGCTCTGCCCTCTCTGGCCAAGGCAGTTTAGCCCTCACTAATCCCCAGACAACCAGGGCGGGCTTCTCTCCAGTAAGGGTCCTGGGGAAGGGACTGGCACAGCAGTGGGTGGAAGGGTGCCACCCAGGCCACTTCAGAACTAGTTCTTCCTCCGGGCCCAGGGCAAGACACATGGGTGAACTCTCATCCCCTCTGCTCCTCAGTACCCTCCACCCACCACAAGCCCAAGGGACCATCACTTGTCACCAGCAAAGGGACCAGGGCAGGACCTGCTGGCACTCCGGTCCCTCTCACTGCTTCAGGGAGGTCCCTCTGTCTTCAGTCTAAAGCCTCTAGCCAGTCTCCCCACCGGCTCCCCAACCTCTGCTCCATAGCCACAGGGACCTCCTCTCCCTGCCCCTGGAGGCAAGCCTCTGCCTTCTCCTCCCAAGCCCCACCTCCAGTCTAGCCTCCACCAGGAAGCCCACCCCGACCCTCAGGCTAAACTAGGTTTCCTCAGTGCCCTTCCCAAGGTGTGAAAGTGAACTTGTACTTCTGTGACGCCCAGGTGACAGTACAGGTTCCTAAAGGGCCGGATGCTCAGGTCTTGCTCAGCCTGCACCTGTGCTTATCACTGTAACCCCACTTAAAGCAAGTCTGGCACCATCTGGACAGCTGGGCTGTCACTGTGAACAAGAACCACTAGTCCAGTGGGGCAGAGGCTATCATTCGCCCAGCTGCACAGGGGCTGAGCAGAGGAGAGCCCCCACTGAGAGTCCATGACCTCAGGCCGCAGCAACCCCACCAGCTAAGGGAGCTGGAGCCTGGTGCGCCCTATTCAAGCGCTGCCAGTTTCGTGCATGGGTGCATCTTCCTTCCTTGTGCCTGTCAGTCAGACGCAATGGCTATCTGTGGAAAGAAATGGGGCTGCTGAGGGCTGTTGCGGGGATGGTGGGCAGGGCACCATTGTGGGGGCACCTCTCTCTGTCCCGACTGGGAAAAGCTTCTCTTGCTTCCCGCATGCTTCCAAATTCACCAGTTATCCTGCTCAGGTGAGGCACATCTGTTGTGTGCTAAGCCTAGGATCAGGGGAGGTGGTGTGGGCTGGCCCTTGCCGGTGCTCACAGGAGTCCAGCCCATGGCTAGGATCATCGGGCATCCGAAATGGCACTGAACTCGTGCGCTGCAAGAACCCCAACGGGCAGCTAGTGCCTAGCATGCCCCTTCCAAGGGGGCGGCGGGGAGTGAGGAAAGAACCCCCTTTGGTCCCAGTGCGGGTGAGGCCCAGCTGGCTGGACGCGCCAGTCTGCCCCCTGCTGGCCAGGCCTGGCTGCTCAGTCACTCGGTACCAGCCAATAAGCGAGGCTGGGCTGGGCGGGTCCCAAATACCTGGGCCATAAAAGCGAAGCGCTCTGTTGGTCCAGCACGCTTCTGGTTCTGACACGGACTCAGAAAGAAATCACCATGGTGCTGTCTCCCGCTGACAAGACCAACGTCAAGGCTGCCTGGGAGAAGATTGGCGGCCACGGTGCTGCATATGGTGCGGAGGCCCTGGAGAGGTGAGAGCCTTCCTCTGCCCTGCTCGGTCCCGGGGTTCAACACCCGCCCCAGTGACCAGCTGGCACCCTACCTGTTATGCCCCCATCCTCCTCGACTTCGCCCACACGCTGCTTTCTCCTTGCAGGATGTTCCTGTCCTTCCCCACCACCAAGACCTACTTCCCCCACTTTGACCTGAGCCATGGCTCCGCCCAGATCCAGGGCCATGGCAAGAAGGTAGCCGATGCCCTGGCCAACGCAGCGGCCCACGTTGACGACTTGCCCGGCGCCCTGTCCGCTCTGAGCGATCTGCACGCGCACAAGCTGCGTGTGGACCCGGTCAACTTCAAGGTGAGCGCTGGGGCCGGGAAAGTCTGGGAGGGACGGGCTGAGGGCGCAGGTGGCAATGTGGCAGGGCAGAACGTTAGGTGGAACACAGATGGCAGTGTCTCTATTGCCACTGACGGCCCTTCCTCTCTCCACAGCTCCTGAGCCACTGCCTGCTGGTGACCCTGGCTGCTCACCACCAGGCCGAATTCACCCCTGCTGTGCATGCCTCCCTGGACAAGTTTTTGGCCTCTGTGAGCACCGTGCTGACCTCCAAATACCGTTAAATTGGAGCCCCCGCGGGCCTTGCCCATCCATGCCCGTCAGGCCTCCTAGCCAGTTCCTCCTCCCCTCCTTGCACCTGCACCTCTTGGTCTTTGAATAAAGTCTGAGTGTGCGGCAGCCTGTGTGCCCTGGGTTCTTTGTGTCCGCCTAGATCCCAAGATTGGGGGTTGGTGGCTTCTTGGGAACACATCAAAGACCTCTATGTATCTGGAGAGGACAAGAAAAGTTAAGGGAGGGAGGGACAGAAAGAAGCCGGGTTTGGAACCAGTTCTGGTGGCTGCCCAGGACTCGCTGGACACCCCTCCACCCAGCAGAGCTGTGCTGTAGTTCCTCCCAGCATTTCATTCCAGGGCCTTGAAGATTTAACACAAGTTGGCGGCAATACTTACTGCCTTTGCTCCTCCTGTTCATATTTTATCACACATGCACACACAATTACACTCAAATGGCCCAGCAAGCTGGGCAATGTGGTACATGCTGATAATTCCAGCTATCCATCAGGCAGATGCAGGAGGACTCTAAGTTGGAGGACAGACTGAGCAATTTAGCAAGAATCTGCCTCAAAACAAATAAACAAAAATGGCTGGGAGTTAGGCTTAGAGCACTTGTCTTACATGGGGTTGAGGGAAATTGGCCCAGCTCTCCCAGGGACCCTCCCAGAGAAGGGTGGTGGTGAGGAAGCCACACTTCCTCAGAGTAACACTGAATCCTCTCCCTTCAGAGATCAGTCTCCCTAAAACCCCCAAATTCTCTCACAGTTCTGATAAGTTTAAGGGTGAGCAGGAATTGCAGATGCCATACCATTTTCTGGAGCTACCAACCCAGGATGTCCATTCTATGAATACTGTAGTCCTGGGGCCATGAAAGTCAGGAGACTCATCCTCTGGGCCCAGTCCCATGTCCACTCAGCTGCCCCATGTCATTGGGTGCTCCTGTCCCAGTGGAGCAGTAGAAAGAAGATCCAGAGCTAGGGAGACCTAGCTGACCTACCCCACATACTTCCTCCTAGCAGAGCAGGCCCAGGGCATGGGTATCAGAGGGAAGGCTTGAGGGCCATCCGGCCCCAGACCTCCACTTAAAAACACTGTTCATGGGGCTCAGTGGTAGAGCCCTTGTCTAGTATGTATGAGGCACTGGGTTTGATCTTCAGCACCACATAAAAATAAATAAAATTGAGGTATTGTGTCCATCTACAACTAAAATATTAAGAAACAACAACAAAACCCTCTTTCTGCCCTAAGCCCAAGACTCATCCTTACTATACTCTTTGACTCAGTAGAGTTCCAGGTAGAAGCCATCTTTGTTTTTGTTTTCGTACTGGGGATTGAACTCAGGAGTGCTCAACCACTGAGCCACATCTCCAGCCCTATTTTGTATTTTATTTAGAGGCAGGGTCTGAGTTGCTTATCACCTTGCTTTTGCTGAGGCTGGCTTTTAACTTGTGATCTTCCTGCCTTGGCCTTCCGAGCCACTGGGATTACAGGCATGCCCCACTGCGCTGGATGATGGATGGGCCCAGGCACAGCTCCATCTTTGATATTTTGTTTTATCATGGAGGCCTCAGCTACGGTGGAAACACATCAAATGTACATCAGTGGACACATGTGCACACAAAATGTGGCTTAAAATTTAGGCATAAAAAGAAATAAAATTTGCAGGATGTGGACAAATCGTGAAAACATTATGCTGAGTGAAAGAAGCCAGACCCTGAAGACTACATATCATATAATCTCATTTATATGATATGTAAATCATATGATATATAAAATATGATATATAAATCCCAGTTATTTGGGAGGCTGAGGAAGAAGGATCACAAGTTTTAAGCCAACCTGGGCAATTTAGCAAGATCCTGTTTCAAAATAAAAAATATAAGGGCTGGGAATGTAGTTCAGTGGTAAAGCACCATTGTATTGAATAAGGAGGAGGAGGAGGAGAATAAGGAGAGGAAGGGGAGGGAGAAGGCCAGCTAGCCTATAAGCAGAATAAGCAGGTCTGTGGGGGAAAGAAGCAGATTGGAGGTAACCAGGAGCTAAAAGAAGGGGATTGGGCAGTTACTGCTAATGGCTGAGTTTCTGTTTAGCATGATGAAAAAGCTCTGAAACTAGACATTAGTGATGGCTGCACAATTCGGTGAATGTTCTAAATGTCACTGAATTATACACTGTTAAGATGGATTTAATGGTAAATTATGTGGAGTCTAATTTGGGGGGGAGGGGAGAGACTTCAGATTGAATCTAGGAGTGCTCTCTACCATTGAGCTACATTCCCTGTCTTTTTTACTCTTTGTTTTGAGACAGAGACTTGCTAAGTTGCTCAGGCTAGCCTCAATTCAACTCAATTCCCAGTAATGCATTAAAAATATTTTAAAAGATGTTATGTGTGTTAGGGCTGGGGTTGTAGCTCAGTGGCAGAGTACTTGTCTAGTATGTGTGAGGCACTGGATTTGATCCTCAGCACCACATATAAATAAATAAAAAATAAAGGTACATCAACAAATAAAAAATATTTAGGGGGGGAAAAGGTGTGATATGGAATCTGGCAGAATATGCTGAATTAGGTATTTACTATTATTATTTGGACACAAACCAGGCACCTAATAAATGTTCATTGTTCTGAAAGTAACATCTACTATGAGCCAGGCACCTGGCATTTGCTATCCATTTAATTCTCATTTCATACAATAAATTAGTAGACAGACTGAGGAAGGTGTCCCAATAGATACGGGAGGTAGGGGACACGCCAAAACACAGGCTGAAACTCAGTGTTATCTGGGCATTACCTTCCATATAGCAAACTCGTTAACGTATGGGGCCTCGGGGTTCAGGGAGACTGAGGGTAGCAGTCTGAGCACAGTGGAGACCCTCTGAGACCTGGGACCACAGGTCAGCGCGAACGCTCAAGGCGCCCCCTGGAGGCCACGCAGAAGTCCTCCAAAGGCGCCGGCTGGGTGCAGGCTGGGCGCGAAGTGCTCGGCTGGAGAGCCAGCATGGCGCTGTCTGCCAGGGACCGGGCGATGGTGCGGGCGCTGTGGAAGAAGCTGGGCGACAACGTTGGCGTCTACACGACCGAAGCCCTGGAGAGGTACGAACCGGGCGGAGGGACCCCACTCCTACCCGCTGCTCGGCCCGCTTCGGAGACGCGCACTCACACTCCGTTCCCCGCAGGACCTTCCTGGCCTTCCCTGGCACCAAAACGTACTTCCCTCATTTGGACCTGAGTCCCGGCTCCGCCCAAGTTAAAGCTCACGGCCAAAAGGTGGCTGACGCGCTGACCCTTGCCGTAGATCAGCTGGACGACCTGCCGGGCGCCTTGGCCTCTCTGAGCGACCTGCACGCACACAAGCTGCGTGTGGACCCAGCCAACTTCCAGGTGAGCGTGCAGGCCAGGCCGGACCCAGCGTCGCCGGGGGAGGGGTCCCACCAGGGAAGGGTGTTGATGATGGATGGGCTCAGGCACAGCTCCATCTGCCCACAGCTCCTGTGCCACTGTCTGCTGGTGACCCTCGCCCGACACTATCCCGGGGACTTCAGCCCCACCATGCAGGCCTCGCTAGACAAGTTTCTGAGCCATGTGACCTCCACGCTGGTCTCCAAGTATCGCTGAAATCCAGTGGGTCATCTGGGGGCCTCCAGGAGTTCCCTTTCCCGAGGACCCCGCCTTGAATAAAGTCCCCCAGAACGTGTCCTGGAACGTATGTCTTTTAGACACAGGGATGGATGAGCAAGACTCCGTCCTCTTAAAGTGGGGGGCGAGAGTCTGAGGCATAGGGTCTCACAGCCCTCAGGTGGTAAGGGCTGCAGAGGCGGCAGCAGCTCCTCACGTTGCTGGCTCCCTCCTGACACTCCTCGGATCCACGGGCGCTGGGATAGTGCCCACTGCATGGCCCCTCACTCACCAACCCAGCCTAGGAGAAAACCAGGAACAGCCCCCACCCCTACCTCCAACAGAGGCAGAAGCTGTGCAGGGGTGGTGTCAGTTCCTGAGGGGAGGCTTGTGAAAGTCAGGAGTTACCCGACTTTGGACCAGGTGGAAGGAGGCAAGTCCAGCCCCAGCACCCAGTCAGGTGTGTGGGGGGGTCCACACTGGAATCATGCCTTCATCTAGTCTCCAAAGAGGAAAGGTAGGGTATTTTTTTCCATATAAAATCAACCATGGTAACTGCAGAGACTTTGGGAATTACCCTATTTACTGCCCCTTTCTGCTACCCAAGTCAGGAACGGACCTGGCAGAAGACAAAGGTACATTCCAGAGCACCAGCATGGCAAAGACCTACCACCAATGGGCACAAACAGGTCTGCAGCCAGGCATGTTGCCAGTGGACAGCCTTTCAGATCCTTCTAGGCACTTAAAAAGGGCTGAGGATGTGGTTCAGTGAGTTCAATCCTCAGTGCCAAAATAAAATATCAGTGGACAGAGCAGACCACACAGGAAGAGTGTGTTGTTGGTCATCAACCTTCCTGGGCTGGCAGTACACGGGCACTTCTAGGGGACTGTGGGGTTCCCAGAAGAGACTGGCATTGGAACCAGGAAACTGCAGATCCCCCTGTTCAATGCCACTGGGTCATTGTCCACCCACTAAGTGCCTGAACAGAACAAAACAATGAAGGGAGGCGAAATGCTCTCTGCTTCGGCAGTGATATCCATCTTCTGCCCTTGATGTAGAGCTTATAGTTCTCAGGCCTTCCAAGCAGGACTGACTTCCTGTCCTGGGACAGCAGGTGCCAATACCGCATAACTATGCATCTGCATGTCCTACTCCCTTTGTTTCTCTAAAGAATCCTAATATAGGAAGGAAAGGGAAAAAACAAAAAACAAGGACAGTAAAATCAGCCAGGTGTGGTCTAGTCCTGGCATTTAGGAGGCTGAGAAGATGGGTGGCTTGAGTTCAAGTCCAGGCAGGCAACACAGTGAGACACAGTTTCAAAAAAAAAATTAATTAAGGGCTGGGCTCAGTGGTAGAATGTTTGCCTAGCATGTGTGAGACACTTGGTTCGATTCTCAGCACTTCATATAAATAAAAATTTAAAAAAGGTTCATCAACTATATATATATAAATAAAAATATTGAACACAATACCTTTATTTATTTTTATGTGGTGCTGAGGATAGAACCCAGAGCCTCACAATTGCTAGGCGAGCGCTTTACTGCTGAGCCCCAGCCCCCTAAATAATAATTTTAAAAAATTAATTAAAAATGTATTTAGCTGGGCACAGTGGTGCACATCTATAATCCCAGAGTATCCGGAGACTAAGGCAGGATTCCAAATTCAAAGCCAGCCTCATCAATTTAGTGAGGCCCAAGGTAATTTGGTGAGATCCTGTCTCACCCAGGACTTTTCACCAACTCCCGCCTATGCGCTACACCCAAGGGGACCCTACACAGGAGGCAGGTGTGGCAGTCAACAACAATGAAGTAGAGCCATTCTGTCTCACTTCTCTAAAATCGCTACCCATGCTGTGTTGATGTATTCCCATGGTATGAGGGGTGTGTATACTGGGGAGACCCCTTTTGTTCCAACTCAGCCTGGGTTCCCTTGGGTATGATCATCACTCTACCTGGGAGGCCTTTCTGATGGGCAGGCTCCCCCACAGGACAGGGACATGCCTCCCAGGCCCAGACACTACCCACAGTATGTCTGAAATGTATAGGCATTGCTGTGGAAAGCAAGGTCCATACTGGGTGAAAAGGTACTTAAGTAGGTTGGTTACAGCAGACCAGAGACTCGGGCAGGGAAGCAAAGCTGCTGGGGGTATCAAGGCTGCTCTGGTGCATGGGTTCCATTTGTCCTGGACCACTGTAAAGGGGCACAAAGGACCACAGGGCTTCCCCAGCAAAGGGAGGTGACAAGGTATCTACCCAGGGAGCTACGCTAGTTCAGGCCACCACAGGAGGACTGGAGACACTGAATGTGGAAGCCTAAGGGGGCCTTGCTCCTCAGCTGCAATCAGAGGAGCTAGGGTGTGGGTACTACAGGTCATTTGTTGGCATAACCTATTCCCTGGCAAAACAACAAAGGAAAACACAGCTATTTGTCCACACAGAGAAATTTATGTCTAGATGTAGAAAAGGAAAAACCCGTCACAGTGGTAATGGTGGGGGACAGGAGGTGGACAGACTGGCTGTCATAGCCCCAGGAGAACACAGGCTGTAAATGAACACTCAGCCTGGACACCTGTGACCTGCCTACAGGCCAGTTGCTGGTTTCGGCTGGTGCAGAAACCTACATAGGGCACATACATAGAACAAAGTACCAAGCCCAAGTGGATTCCATAGGTTTCCTTCCCACCAGTCTTTTCTGTGGAGACAGGAAAGAACTGTCTCTGACCAGCAGCCACATCAGGATGTTGGTGGCCTTTTGGGTGCTATTTTGCCACATGTGCACCTCTACAGAGTAGAGATGAGTAACTGTGTTAACAATGAGGCAACAGAAGCTCCCTCTAAAACAAATGTAAACGGTCCCCAGAAATATTAAAAGGGCCACAAGTCAATCAGCAGTTACCCTTCACTTTGGTCTTAAGGCAACCATCCTGACAGCAGCAGCAAAGAGCTGAGAGGGTAACACAAAAACCCATCCAGGCAGGAACCACAAAGCAGCACCCTGGAATGTGACCCAAAGAACACCCCTCTCTTCTCTGAAGATTGCCAGGTGGGTGCCACCCAGGGGCTTTTCTTTGCCCTGCATAACTTCAAATAGGGAATGGCAGGACACCTTGCCTGAGCTAGGATCTGACAGGCCAGCTCCGGAAGAGATGGATGGGGAATGTGCCTTCTGCTCCCTGCCTGCCTTCCAGTCTGTAACAGGAGCTAGAGATGACCAGCAAAGATGGGTGTAAGTACAAGGACGGGGAGTCACATATACCTGGCTCAGCTGGGGACAGACACCAAAAGCCAAAAGGTGGCTGGACTGCAAGTTGCAGTCTTCTGAAGAGGGGAAAGCAGCAGGCCTGTCTCTCCTGGAGTGGAGGAGGGTCCCAGCAAAGGACCTCAGCAGAGGACGGTAAGGAGGCAGCCGGTCAGGTTTATTTATTCCTACACAACATAACCCAGAACACAGGAGCAACTCTGCACGACCTAGAAACTCACAGCTAGCTCCATACAATAGAAATTCAAACTACAAAAGATGAGTTGTGTTCAGCAAATATAAAGAGCAATCTTAGGCTGTGCTGAATGTTTTCATTGAGAACATCAGAGATCGGGTTCAGATCTCGCCGGCCTCCTTCTCCTCTGACCTCCGTGAAGCAGTCTTCCCGTTGGAGCTCTCCAGCCTCCAGTCCACAGCCCCACGCTCACTCCGCCCATACTCCCAGGGCTCTTCTCTTGATGCACGCTCTCTGGAGAACCTAGGGAAGGGGAATCAGAGGCTCAGTGGAGGCTGCCACCCTGCTTCTGAGTGGCTGTTCAGAAACCAACAATGTGGGCTCTCCTCAATGGACAGGAAGGTCATGGTCCCGGGAGGCCAGAGGGCAGAAAGGGTTGCCATCTCATGCCTAACCGTCAGGGAACATTAGGTACTCACTAAAAACTGACATTCACAAAGAGTTTTAATAAGGAAGTACAACAAAATTATACATATGAAATACAATCCACTACATAAAAATAGAAAGGGAAAAAGGCCAAAATTTAAAACCACTTCAGAAGTTAAGGAGGGTTTAGTATCAAGTGACAGTGCCTAGAGTCCAGGATGACTATTTCACTGTAGCTCCACCTAGAAGTCCACAAGGGACATGCTCCACAGTCCTCCCCGGTTCAAACCCTGAGTCTCACCACTGGCCAGGCTCCCCACAAGCCGAGTCTAGCCCTACCAGCTATGGAAGGGCCCACTGACAGACCCCAGCAAACCGTGGGAACACAAAGAGAAGGGGCTCACTCCTGGTTGCAGCTACTGAAGGAGTCAGAGTAGTTACTTGTATTTTGCACTCCGGTCCCTGGAAGCCCGGCGATGTCCCCGGCTGCGGCTCCGGGAACGGCTGCGATGGCGCCGGTGTCTGTCTCGGGACCGGGACCGGGAAGACTTCCTTCGCTCTCGGGAAGTAGATCTTGACCGCCTCCGACGACGGTCTCGGGAGCGTGACCTGAAAAAAACCGAAGGCTCTGATGGTTGAGATTGCTCAGAAAGCAAGCAGCCCAGGACTACCCCACTTCTGGGCTCAGGTTCTGACTGTGGCCTTACTTATAATTCCTTCTGTCATCTTGCAAATGTGCAATTCAAGTTTGAAATATTCCCAAGAGCTACTCTGATGCCAGACCCACCCCGAGTGGCACTTCCTGAACACTCCTGGTTGGCCACAGGCCTCACCATCCCCGGGGCCCTTCACAAGCCACCCTGCCCACCAGATAAACGTGTGGAATTGCAAACATCAATTATTTTTAAAAAATCTTGTGGAAGAGGCATGCGACTGAAAGAACACTATTAGGCATCTAGAAGCCTACCTCCTACGATCTCTGGTTCTGGATCCAGACCTGAAAAGGGAAAAGATGATGAACAATGTTCCAGAAGCATCCTCATTCTCCACTGACTGGGAAGGTGCCCACAACTTGAGGTGGAAGACTTTTCCCAAAGACCTATTCTCTCCTGGCGGCTCAACTACTTGGGCTGCAGTGGGAGGTGCAGAAATTCACAGGATGAGGCCCCACCCACTCTGTGGCTCACTGGCTGCACTGGCAGCACCCATGTCCATCAGTGCAGGCTAGAGTTACAAAGCTTTACAATGGACACTGGCACAGGTATACAGTCAGAAGACAAAGGGCTGCAAGCACCTCCACAGCCACCAAAGTTCCAGACACAGGCTTAGTGCCAGGTGAGCATCAATGGGCTCCTCTGGTTAGACAACCAGCAAGGTCTCATGTGACACCCATTCTGAGAGCACTGTGCAGTCATCATGGAAAAGGGGCCTACATGTGACTGTATCTAGACATGCCCAACCACAACAGATGCATCTGTGTGCAAAAGGGATGGCAGGTCTTCTGAGGATGTTCTCATATAATACAAAGCTCTAATAATCAACCACCATGAAAACAACAAAGGAAACAAGAGAACAGCAAGCATTGGCTCTTTCTGAGTCAGGCACTCAGGAATTCCTTTGGGAAAGCAGTTTTTGGAACTTTCAGGGGAAATAAGCTACCCTCAAAGCAAAGTGAGGTTATTTCTAGCTCAGAACTCTTCTCTGAACTCCAATCAGAAGGCTATGTCTTGGGCATTAAAATTGAACATGGCGAGTCAAGCTCTACCCCATCCCTTCTCACACTACCTTTCTCACCCCAGCAAGTGCAAACTCGAGGTCAAAAAACTTCCAAGTCATTTCCTATCAATTCTGTCCCCAGATCACACCCAGACTCCAACCACTTGACTCTTCAGACCGCCAACTCCTTCATCAGGAATCCTCCCAACCAGCAACTCACTGATCTTGCTGCTCCACCCAACACCCTCACTCAGCTCTCCAAAGGGAAGCAACACCTCCTGACATCAGACTCCATCACTCCTGTGAGTTTTTTAATGATCCCACACCATGCAATAAATGTATGCCAGGGTACATATACGACCTCCAACCACTCACTCAGCCCAAAGCTCTTCCCTGATGCACTTTCCCTAGAGCAAAGTGTTGCCACTTTGCACACTCCTCTCCCAGAGGATCAGGTCTAACCCTTCCCATCTGCTGATGGCTGCATGCCCAGCAGTCAGTGGATCAGCTCATGTGGTGAAGGAGGAACCTATCCTAACTGTTCTTCTTCCTTCTCTTATGATTAGCACATGCAGGTGCTAGGCCAGCCTGCACTCTGCAGGACTGGATATGCTGCACGTTGGCTTTCTTTTAGCCTATGGCAGACCTTGACTGTTCCAAGCAACACCTCAGTACATGAAGCAGCATCTTCTGAAGCACAAGGGCTCCGTGAGCCTACTACCCTGTCCTTGCTCACCTTCTACTCAGCCGCTCCTCCCGCTCTCGCTCCTCCCGCCTCCTCAAGCGATCCTGATTTCTCTTCTCCTGCTTTTCAGCCACAGTTTTCTAAATAGATGAAAAATGGGAAAAAGAAAAAAGCAAGAAAAACTCTAAGAAACACTAACACATTTGTTTTAAAACCTTCTTAATCAAACCAGATGGAGTGGCAGAGGCCTGTAATCTTAATGACTCAAGAGGCTAAGGCAGGAGGATCACAAGTTTGAGGTCTGTGTAGGAAACTGGATGAGACTCTATCTTAAAATAAAAAATAAAGGCATTGGGCTAGGGATATAGCTCAGTTGGTAGAGTGCTTGCCTTCCATGCACAAGACCCTGGGTTCAATCCCCAGCACAAGAAAGACAGAAAGTGGGGCTGGGGATGTGGCTCAAGTGGTAGTGCGCTCGCCTGGCATGCGTGCAGCCCGGGTTCGATCCTCAGCACCACATACAAACAAAGATGCTGTGTCCGCGAAAACTAAGAAATAAATATTAAAAAAAAAAAAAAAAAGACAGACAGAAAGAAAGACAGGCAGGCAGGGTGTGGTGGCACACCTGTAATCCCAGTGGATCAGGAGACTGAGACCCTAAGCAACTCAATGAAACTCTCTCTCTAAACAAAATACAAAATAGGACTGAGGATGTGGCTCAGTGGCAGAGTGCCCTGGGGATTGATTCCCAGCACCATCAATCAATCAATTTAAAAACAAAACAAAACAAAAAAACCCAAAACAACAACAAAAACAACAAACCAACTCCAAAACAAAGAACACTTTAAAATACATTTGATGTTGCTACTTTAACAACTGTCAAAATCTTTAATGTGTTTGAGCTGTTTTGGTCAACCATACACCACTCATAGCAGCAATGGTTAAGATACTTCCTAGACCAAGTTTTTCGGCCTGTAAAAGTTTTAACATATACCCATTTTTCTTTTTATGTACTGGGGATTGAACCCAGGGGTGCTTTAACTCTACATCCTTAGTCTTTTTTTTTTTTTTTGCAGGGGAGGGGTGGTTGGGGCTCAGTAAGCTGCTAAGGCTGGCCTCCAACTTGTGATGCTCTGCCTCAGCTTTCTGTATCACGTGCCCAGCTAATATTGAGGTTTTTTTTTTTTTTTGTACCATGGATTGAATTCACAGGTGTTTAACCTAACCACTGAGGCACAATCACAGCTGTTTTTTAATATTTATTTTAGAAACAAGGATCTCACTGAAGTGCCTAAAGTCTTGCTAAGTTGCTGAGGCTGGCTTTGAACTCACAACCCTCCTACCTAAGTCTCCCGAGCCACTGGGATTATAGGCTTTGCACCAACCCATCAAGCTTATATTTAGTTTTGATGCAGATATACACTAAGAAAACTGAAAACTTTCAGGTACAAAAAATACTGCACTAAGAAAAAACTCTAGGACAACATGGAATTAACGTATGATTTAAAGGACAAACGGGAATATATCATTCCCAACTAATTATATATTTTTTGGTACCAAGGATTGAACCCAAGGGTGCTTAATCACCGAACAGTACAGACTGACCCAGCACCTGCATGTGCTAATCATAAGAGAAGGAAGAGGAACAGTTAGTTAACTTTTGAGACAGTTTCTCACTAAGTTGCTTAGGGCCTGGCTAAATTGCTGATGCTGGCTTTGAACTCTCGATCCTCCTGCTTTAGCATCCTCAGCTGCTGGGAATACAGGCATATACCATTGCACCTGGCCATTCCCAACTTCTAAGGAGAAAATTTTGACAGTAGAAACCAAATAATTATTTATATTGTATTGAACACATATAACATACAACCTTTTATATCTACCAACTTATAAGAAACAATTTCAACTTGAAAATGTGACTGAGTACATTGAAAATATCAGAGATGTAGCTCTAAGTTGAAGTGACCCTAGGTTCAATCCCCAGAACCAAATGTTCTACTGAACAGAAGTAAAATATTTTAGAATACCCTAAGTGCCACTGTACTCCAATCCTGCTTCTAGTTCCAAATTCAATTCACCTAAGGACCTTTCCTTGGGTACAGAACCTTGCTGTCTTCTGCCTAAAGGACCAGCTTTTTCCTGGAGTCAAACAAGACCCCAGCCCTAAATGAGGCCTTGGTTACTGTAGCACTCTAAATTCCATTCAGGTGCTTTAGGTCTGTTCTTCCACATTTCAAGTGCATGGAGGGAGAGAAGGCTACATGGCCATATCCCCCCAAACTCCCCATCATGCCTTTTTTTTTTTTGGTACTAGGAATTGAACTCAGGGTACTTGCACTGAGCCACACCCCACCCCTATTTTGTATTTTATTTAGAGACAGGTTCTCACTGAGTTGCTTAGTGCCTCATTAAGTTGCTGAGGCTGGCTCTGAACTTAAAATTCTCCTGTCTCAGCCTCCCAAATTGCTGGGATTACAGATGTGTGCCACCGCACCCTCTGGCCTGCCCCTTTTTTGAGAAATAAGACAGTCTAAGTTGCCCAGGCTGGCCTTAAACTTGAGGTCCTACTACCTCAGCCTCTTGAGATGCAGGGATTGTAGGGCTGTGCACCACCACATTCAGCTTCATACTTAAAGTTTAGACTCTTCAGGAAGGAACAGGTTGTGTGTGCACTGCTATCAGAAGAAAACCCACAGCTTCCTTACCTTTCTGAGGCAGCGTAAAGGCAAAGATAACTGAACCACACAAAAGCTATTTCAGAACTGTCCATACCCTGGGACTGGACTCTGTTATTTACCACAACGAAGGGGTACAAACTAAATACATTTTCAGGATTCTTTTTTTTTTTTTTAATTGTAGTTGTAGATGGACAGAATGCCTTTATTTTATTTATTTTTATGTGGTAGATCAAACCCAGTGCCTTACACATGCTAGGCAAGCACTCTGCTACTGAGCTACAGCCCCAGTTCCATTTTCAGGATTCTTTGGATTATGATATTTTATGTCTCTTATGTGAAATCAAGTGATAAAATTTGAGTATTTCACTATAAAACTCAAGTTCTTAGAGTGAATCAGAACAAAGGGTTTTTAAATTTTTTTTTAAAGTTGTCAATGGACCCTTCATTTCATTTCATTTATTTATTTATATGTGGTGCTAAAAATTGAACCCACTGCTGAGCCACAACCCCAGTCCCAATTTTTTTTTTTTCTTCTTTGGTAACAGTGACTGAATCCAGGGACACTCAAGCACTGAACCACACCCCCAGTCCTATTTTGTATTTTTATTTACATGCAGGGTGTCACTGAGTTGCTTAGTGCCTCACCAAGTTGCTTAGTGCTTCATCATTGCTGAGGCTGGCTTTGAACTTGTGACCCTCCTGTCTTAGCCTCCCAAGCTGCTGGGATTACAGGCGTGCACCACCGTGCCTGGCTCCCAAAAGGTTTTTGAAAATATAGAAATGTGAAGGTGGAGCTGGGTTATAGTTCAGTGGTAGAGCACTTGCCTGGTATGTGTCAGGCACTGGGTTCAATCCTCAGCACCACATAAAAACAAATACATAAAATAAAGGTACTGTGTCCACCTACCACTAAAATAAACCAACAATGACGACCAAAAAAAAAAAAAAAAGTCAGAAATGGGAATTCTCCAGAAACACAGCTCACTATCATACCCTCAACTGATCAAGCTTCTCTCGGATCTGAATGAAACCCAGGTGTAACTTGCCCCCGAAGTGGTCTGCGAGGCGACGGTCATTATCATGAAGACCCAGGTAGGCGGAACAGACCTCGCACACACGAAGCTTTTGCTGCTGAAAACTGGATGCAGGCATGGAATTCCTGTACTCTTCCTAGAGAAAGGGGGAGAGATGCACATGAGTCAACAGAAATGCCACCACAGATGGACCTCCGAGACAGAGCCACCTTTTAAATAGCCTTAGCAATTCAGAGATACTGTCTCAGAATAGATCTGGGGATGTATCTCAGTGGTTAAGCGCCTCTGAGTTGAATCCCCAGTACTGCCCCCCCCCAAATAAATAAATAAATAAAATATTCACAATGTCAAAAAACATTCAAAAGTTCTCAGACAAGCAGAACTATTCTGAGACCAGTGGGGAAGGTTAAGTCTCTGCTCTGCATGAGAAATTACAAACCAGAGAAGCAAGAAGAATCTTCTACAAATACACAAAAAATATAAACCATGAGGACTGTGTCCCAACATCCAGGAAACAACCCCAGTGCAGCTGCAAAAGTGACAGTTTGCAGGCAGACATGGTGGCACACACCTGTAATCTCAGGTACTCAGAAGGCTGGCAAGTGTAAGACCAGACTAGGCAACATGGCTACACACTGTCTCAAAATGAAAAATAAAAAGGGCTAAGGATGTAGCTCAGTCATAGAGCACTATAATGCGTGCTGGAGGCCAAAATTTCAATCCCCAACTATAAGGAAAAAAAAAAAAAAAAAAAAAAACCCACAATGAAATCCATGATATTGAGCCTGGCATGAGGACTCACACCTGTAATTCCAAGCTACTCAGGAGGCTAAGGAAGGAGGATCAAAAGTTTGAGGCCAGCCCCAGCAATTTAGCTTAGGTCCTTGCTAAAATCTCAAAAAATA